ATGTAAAGCAAAAGGAACGCTCATTCATTTCTAGTAGGAATAAAAACAATTACACAGCTACTTTTGTCATTGCAATTTCCTTTAGAAATAAACATACACTTACCATACCACCTAACAATCAAGCAATCATAATTTTTAGTATTTACTCAAATAAGTTGAAAATGTATGTCCCACAAAAAACCTCTACACAGATGTTTATAGCAGTTTTATTCAAAACTGTCCAGACATGGAAGAAATTATGATGTCCTCTAGTAAGTGAATGGATAATCTATAGTACATTGAGTCAAAGAAATATTCTTCACTAAAAAGAAATTAGTTTTATCAAGCCATGAAAAATCATGGAAGAAACAAATACATATTACTCACTGAAAGAAACCAAACTGAAAAGCTATATAATGAATTTTTCCCACTATATGAAATTATGGAAAAGAAAAAAAAATATGGAGACAATAAAATAATAATTGCCAGAGGTTAGAAGGAAGAGGAATGAACAGGTAGAACAGGTTTCCCCTCCCCCAGGGTATTAGAAGTATTTTGCACTATATTATAATGATGGATACATAACATTTTACATTTGTCAAAATCTATAAATTACACAGTATAAAGCCAATATGACCTATGGAGTTTAGGTGGCAATGAGTTGCCAGTGTAGATTTATTGAATCTGAACAAATCAGTCATTGTGATGTGTCATATTGATAAGGGAATACTGAAAATGGGAATATGTAAGACGTCTGTGCTTTCTTCCTAAATTTGCTGTGATCTAAAACTTCTGTGTAAATGAAGTCTTTTTTCTATCAGTGTCACTCAGTTTGCTCTTCTTACTAAGACTGAACCATTTTTCTCTTAACATAGTTTAAGAGTTTTGAAGTCATTAATTCTAATCATGTATGCATTGTCCCATTGCCTGCTAGTCTAATAATTTACTTTTAGAAAGCCCTTGCTCCACCATATTCATTGACTTTGGCTATTTTACAGGCTCTCTGTTAGTATTTTGATATAACTATGTATAGAATACAGCTGAGGGATAAGAAATCATATCAAATTGTCAAACACAGAGTTCTGAGATAACAAAGTGATAGAGCCAACTTAATACTTTACCTGTATGCTTCCCCCAACAAGTTTGCTTAATGTTGCTTCATGCAGACACTGGAGGTTTTGATAGAAACCACTTCTCTAGAAATAATGACCTTGGGGTAATTTTTTTTTATTATTAAGACATTTTCTATCCATTTTACATACCAACCACAGATCCACCCCTCCCTCTTCCTGCCCCCCAGCCTTCTCCCCAACCCATGCCCCATTCACACTTCCTCCAAGTGAAGGTCTCCCATGGGGAGTCAGCAGAGCATGGTACATTCAGTTGAGGCAGATCCAAGCTCCTTCCCCCTGCACCAAGGTGGCACTGCACTCCAAAAAGCCCACTCATGCACCAGGGACAGATCCCGATGCCACTGCCTGCCCCCCAACAGTTCAAGCTAAACAACTGTCTTGAATCTCCATAGGGCTTAGTCCAGTCTCACGGGGGCTCCACAGCTATTGGTCCACAGTTCATGGGTTTCCACTAGTGTGGCTGGTCGTCTCTGTAGGTTTTCCCATCATGATCTCGATGTCCCTTGCTCATAGAATCCCTCCTCTCTCTCATTGATTGGACTCCTGGAGCTCAGCCTGGCACCCAGCCGTGGGTCTCTGCATCTGCTTCCATCAGTAACTGGATGAAGGCTCTATTAGGACAGTTAGGGTATTCACTAATCTGGTTACCGGAGCAGACCAGTTGAGGCACCCTCTTAACTACTGCGTGTAGTCTAAGGTGGGGTCATCCTTGTGGGTTCCTGGGAACTTCCCTAGCAACCTGTTTCTTCCTATTCCCATGATGTCTTCATTTATCATGGTATCTCTTTCCTTGCTCTCCCACTCTGTCCCTGTTCCAGCTCAAACCTCCCATTTCCTTATGTTCTCATCCCCTATTCTTTGCCCTCCATTACCCACCGCCCCTTACTCCCAGTTTGCTCATGTAGATCTTATCTATTTCTCTTTCGCTGTGCGATCTAGGTGTCCCTCCTCCTTGTTAGATGGCTTCTCTGGAGCTGTGGGTTATAGTATGGAGCTGTGGGTTGCTTTACATCTAATATCCATTTATGAGTGAGTACATACAATGTTAGTCCTTCTGAGTCTGTTACCTCACTCAGGATCATATTTTCTAGTTCCATCCATTTGTCTGCAAATTTCATGATATCCTTTTTTAGTGCTGTGTAGTACTCCATCGTGTATATGTGCCACATTTTCTTTATCCATTCTTTGGTTTAGGGACATCTAGGTTGTTTCCAGGCTCTGACTGTTATGAATAATGCTGCTATGAACATAGTTGAGCATGTGTTCTTGTGGTAAGATTGAGCATTCCTTGGGAATATGCCCAAGAGTGGTATAGATGTGTCTTGAGGTAGATTGATTCCTTGGGGTGATTTTTTAAAGAATGTACCTTTCTAGAGGCAAGAATTGTTCAGGCGAGTTTCAAATAACCTTCAAAATGTACCCAGATATGTGAGCTCTGTAATGAATTACCTTCCCTTAAAACCACAGATTTCCCTCATTTTCTTTTAAATTTTCTATAATGCTAATTAAAACAATCAGTTCAGCCACTGTTACCTCTATCATAGTGTATCCAGAAAAAATGGTTTTACTAAAACATTTTGACTTTCATATAAGCCATTTTTTCAAATATTTACCTGTATTCACTGTCTTTAAAATTGAAAAAAAAAGATTTTTCTCGATGAAGGTATTTATTATGTCTGCCATATTTATGTATCCTTAGAAGACTTGATGTGGGAGTAAGAGTCTGTAACACAGAGCTGAAAGAAGTGTGGGCTCCATTTCACTGATATATGTATAATCTAAAAGAGACTAGGGTTTTCATTTCATACATGTCATTGAAATTATAAATTTGGTGTTTTACTGTTTCTATAGAAATTCATTATGAGTTCAGAAATGAAGATTGTGCAGTGATGTAGGTTAGAGAGATATAATGAGGCAACCACAAAGGCATACATGTATGTGTAACAGTACTTAATGTTGGGAATGATGAGAAATAGTGCACTACTCTTAATAATTTTATGTGTTTACATGTAACTTTACAAATGTGTGAAATCTGTTCAAACTTTAATATAAAACAAAAGGTAACCTTCAATCATACACTAGATAATTTTACATAATCTTGATAAGAACCAGATTTACTTGGTGAGGAATGAGAATGTATATGCATATGTACATGTATACTTACAAATGCACATATGTACATATACATGTATATATTATATGTGTGTTTTTAATGTTGTAAATAATGTAGAAAAAACTTAAGCATAGCAATCACTTAGTCTAATGAGAAATTAGATTTTATGTAAGTAATTTAATGACACCATTATCAGGTTTCAAAAGGTGATGAATCTGACTTCTATTAGTGCTAAATAATGAAACAAGTGTTACTATGCTCGATGAAATATATAAATATGATGCATTTTTATATATCAGGCATGATTTAACTAGAAGGTCACAAGAAAAATATTATGGAATCAATATAGGACTATACTAGGATTTTTACGTATATCCATTTCTTACTAAATTTAAAGTTGTCTATTTTGTAAGTATGGAAACTACGATTCTTGGTAATGTTTTAAGGATTATATAAGGCAGAACTTATCCTTGTACATTAAAAGATTATAAAAAGAGTTGAGGCAGGACTAAGCTCCTCCTCTTGCATCAAGATTGGGCAAGGTAACCCAGCTTGGGGATTGGGTTCCCCAAAGCCAGTTCATGCATCAGGGACAGGTCCTGATGCCACTGCTAGAAGCCTCACAAACAGACCAAGCTACACAACTGTCACATACATGCAGAGGTCCTTGGTTGGTCCCATGCAGGCTCCCTAGCTTTCAGTCCATAGTTGGTGAGCTCCCAGGAGCTCAGGTCAGCTGCCTCTGTGGGTTCCCCGGTCATGACCTTGCTCCCCCCAACCCCTCCAGGCCACCCCTGGGCTCCTACAATCCTTTCTTTCTATCTTCAACAGAACTCTTGGAGCTTGGCCCAGTGATTGGATGTGGATCTCTGCATCTGCTTCTATCAGTTACTGGATGAAGGCTCTATGATGATAATTAGTGTAGTCACCAATATGTTTACAGTAGATGGCCAGTTCAGGTACCCTCTCCACTATTGCTAGGGGTCTTAGCTGGGGTCATTCTTGTGGATTCCTGGGAGTTTCCCTGGCACCAGGTTTATGGTATAGCCTTTTTTCACATTCACATTTACCAATGTTCATTATTTTAGTGATGGCTCTGTTCAAAATTATTTTTCATTCTTTAGTCATTTATCCAAAATATCACCAAGTTCTGCTAAAGGTGTGATGTGTGTGTGTGTGTGTGTGTGTGTGTGTGTGTGTGTGTGTGTGTGTGTGTGTGTGTAAGGGTGTAGATACAGTATCTGTTATATCATTTTGGTCCATTTCTCTAAATGATTCTGGCATTTGATTTCATTTTTTTGTCATTTATGATCTCATTCAATGCACTATAGATAACAGTAATTTGAATGGGGGAAGAGAGTAAAAAAGGTTTACCAATGAAAAAATCAAATGAAGCTATGGGAAATAAATGAATACAAATCATTTATATACTTAGGTTTTGTGGATAGTATTGTGTATTTGATAGTGTTATCAGTTAATTTCTCATAAATGGTGATAGTAGTTCCTTATAGAAAGCTATAATATACTTAAGGCCAGTAGTTTCTTGTGTTCCATATTTGCCACCTTTAATGAAAACTGTGATTCTATACAAACCCTATGGAAAAATCTCAAGGCAGTTCTTTTAAAAAATACTTTAAGTAACTTATGTGGTTAAGTTTGAAATAACAGGCATTTACCCATTTTGCAGCTAGTGCACTGCTGCATATTCCATGGTCATTTTATTTCAAAAATCATTTCAATCTAATAACAATATCTACATTAAATTTTCCATCAACTTTACAAACACACAAAGCAAATGATACAAGTATAAGAGCTATATAGTGAACAACAAAACATACATTTATACTATTATCAGAATCAAAAATAGTTTCCACAAAAGATACCTCACTCTTCATATATTAATTATTTGTCAAACAGCAAAATACCTTTTCCAGAAAAGTAATACAAGTCTTGAAATTGTATAACATTGTACAAAAATATTCTTATTTAACATACATTCAACATTAAAGCAAATATGCACAGTTCACCAAACTTTGGACATTTCAGACATCTGTCCTGAAACAGTCCTGAAAATTTTTATTTACAGAATCATTGTAATTTATTACAGCACTTCAAAATGTTTGTACTAAGAGACTAAAAGTGGTGATATGAACTATAAAAATAGAAAAGGCACCTTAAACGGTATAAAGCTATATTTATATTGCCTGCTTTCCTAAAACAAAACACAAAACAATTCAGTGTTTAAAACATCATTTTTTTTTTGATATAGTTGAGTATAGAATGCTATTAGCAACCTCCTCTATGTGGACCTGGGCAACTACAGTTAGATGTTTTTATTTATTTTCCCAGTCTGACCATCATTTGTATTACTGATATTTTCTTTCATGTTAAACAATTTAACTGGTTTAAATCAACTGAATTTTGAAACATATCTTGAAGAGAAATACTTATGTATATAACTTGTTTAGTTTTGAAGTGATATGCTCTAACTTTATTTTTTGTCAGATGAATTTACTGAAATTATACTGTAAGATTTTTATTGTATGCAGTAGTCATTTTGTATCTTAAATGAGAAAGTTACTCAGATTAATCATTCACCATTCATTATTGATTGATATATTTATGGTCTAGATTATCTGAAACCTTGTCTTCTTTGTTTTGCAGGCCAAGACATTCCCTTAACATCAAGAAGGACTTTAAAGAAAACATTTTTGTGCCTGCTAATCCTTTTTGAACCAGAAGGCAAAGTTACAGACATTCAGTTCATCTAAACAGGGGCCAGGTGAAGTTTAACAAGTCACAAGCTTCCAAAGAGGACACTACTCAGTTAAATCTAATGGCAGTGTACAGATGTGAGGTGGCAGTGTTTGTCAAGGTATATGTAACCTGCTTTAAAATAGCAGAAGGTCTTAATTTAAAGAGGAAGTCAGATGTTCTACATTGACCTATAAAATGGCAATCAGAAGACATTATCTAACAGTAATAGGTTGAGATCAGAAAATTTCAGCTAATGAAAGGGGCTATTTCTAATCTTGCTGGGATAGTTAAGCTTATTGAATGATTGTTAATGTGCTCTAGGCATGAGATATCTTGAAAATCAGACAGCCTAACTTTGGGTTCTCTGCAATACATACATGGAAGTTACTTTTCTGGAATGGAATGTCTATGAACACAATCTTAGTAAATTAACAGTTCCAGATTCCATCTTTACTAGGAATTATTCTTTTGTAAAATAAACATAAAAAATTGCCCCTAGTTTTTCAATTTTTCTATCCTGTCACTAAGAAAAACAGAAGTGCCATTTTAGTAAATGAGGAAAATGTAGAAGAGAAACAAGATGAATTAAAACCTTCCTCTTCAGTAGAATTACTACAGATAACACACATTACTGTAAATCTCTAGTTTTCATCATAAAGAACAGATACATGTTTGAGGAAACACATGTACTAATCATATTTAAGCATCAGCAATGTTCACATGTTAGAACACTACATGATGCTTTATTAATAAGTATACTTTTAATGCTTTAGGTATGTTAAAATATTTAAAATAAAGATAACAACAAAACATTCTTCCAGAGAAATGTATTAATGCTCCTTTGTTTTTGGAAGCTGTCGAGATTTACCAGCAGCTGTATATCTCTTCTACAATTATTCTCCTTGTTTTAGTAAACAGCTACTGAAATTAATATAGCTCTATGGCTAGTATGTTTAAATATAGCCCTCAACATGACTAAATCATATAACCTCATGTATATAGTTTCTGTTTTGGTACACAGATATGGTATTTTATAGAAGGGTATCTTGCTTTTGACTTTAAAGATTCATTTGAGTGCTTTTCAAAGGAGACAGTTTTACTCTTTAAGCCAGTGTTAATATATATTCCTAACTTGCCAGCTGAATCTGAAAGAATTTTACTCAATAGTGAAAATACAATTTCAATAGTTAGTCAACAACATGTATTTGGAGTTTACTTCCTGAAAAAGTATTGGATTTTGAAGTCAGGGTACCAAAGGTGCCTTTAAACTCTTTCTTAAATCTGTAAAGAAGATAAGTATGAAGAAATACTTATGTTCAAGAAAGTCATCCTCATGACTTAAATAAAATTACAATTTGTAGTTATCTTTGTTCAAAAACCTGCTAATATGGGTTGTATTATTGTTGGGAGGCACTAAAATTATAAAACCTTTTTAAAATAGAAAGTATACATATCAATGATTTCCTAAAATTACTTTTAATTTTCAAAGCATTTGGAAGACACTACTATAAACACACATTCTGATTTCACAAGTTAAGGATTTGATAATATCTTTACCTTTTTGTTTTGGAATTAAGCTTTCATTTTATGTAGAAAACTTTCAAGTTATTCTACTATAGTAAAAATAAAAGGTCAAGTATTATATTAGTTAGTATTCTCATACCGCTCTGTAATGTCATTTTCGCAGAGACCAGTATCCCCTACTCATCACCAGGTCTTTAACAAGAATCCAATCACAGCCTTCTGGGTTCCATAGTTTAGCCTAAGGAATATGTATGAATGGGGCATATCTATAATGTGTGATGGGTTAGTTAGCATTTTAAAGAGACTACTTTATATTTCTCCATTAGTCTAGAATTATACAAGAAATCACCAAATTAATTGGATTGACATTTAACCATCATTTTAAATTTGGGATAATTTTGAGGAGTAGCTACTTGATACACTATTTCTCTTAAGAGGGCCATTTTATTCATTTACAGGGGTTAATGATTTTATTCGGAGGCATTAAAAGATGCATCTATGTGGCACTCCTTCTATAGGACATGGAGGTCTGCCTGCTGGAGGGGGCATATAAACCACATGCATTAAAATCATCTATAAAACATCTGTTGTTCTTTCAAGGTGTATATTTATAAAAATGAGTTTTGTTCTAATTCATTCAAAAAATCTCATCCTCCCATAACAAAGCAAAGTAAAGCAAAATGTGTTATGTTCAAATATCAGTAACATAAAATTGGTTTCCAAGTAGTGTATCTCCTCTAACTTGTATGATATCACCCCAAACAAGCTAATCCTTTCTTTTTAAAGCAGTAGATTAGAGACTAGCAGAAGGCTATTTAAAAGTCTTACATACCCCATTAGATCTTTTATAATATGTAGACATTTGTGAACTGTAAGAATATTCTAGTTTAAAAGAATATGTGGCTAAAACCCAATTAATTCAACTAATAGAAATGTTAGAACTACATTTTTTTCTCTTTTGGTTTTGGTTACATTACTGATGTTAAAAAGTAAAACCAACTTTCAGAATAAAACTTACTCCTGGATTTGTTTTATTTTATTTATTTATTTATTTATTTATTTATTTATTTATTTATTTATTTATTTATTTGGTTTTTCGAGACAGGGTTTCTCTGTGTAGCTTTGTGCCTTTCCTGTTACTCCTGGATTTTAACACTAGTTAAAGCAATCAAGGGCAATCTGGTGTGTGTCTGGTGATGAAATGACATATGCTGGAATGGAGTTTTAAAATTATTGAATGACTTCTATGGATTACATCAGGTAAAAAAAAAAGGCTGGCACCTGTTTACATACAAAAATGCTTTGTAGTAAACCAATGAACAGAAGGAATTAGTACTGTTTTTTTAAGGCAGTTACACTAGTTCTGGAGAGATGCTGACATGCCATTGAATACATAATCCTTTTTGGTTAGTAGGCAATAAAGGAAGGCTTAGCGTGGTGATGTTATTTAGAGAAACAAAGTCATGAGGAATAGGCTAAAGCTTTTTCTTTTATGATATCATTCCCATTCAACATGTTTGGATTCTCTAACCTGAGAAAATATTAGACATTTATGTGGAGCTTTTTCATAAGAGAACAAGACACTTAAAATGTTAGGAGAAAGCATGATCCTTTTAGGCCATTCTCTACATTGCAATTTAAAGCTTTAGGATAATAATATGGAAAAATGCCTCTTAGCAATTAGAGAGTTTGGAGGAAATAGCAGTAAGAAGCAATGGGATCACAGATGTGATAAGATATTCCCAGACACCTTCACAATTCTATTACTGAACTACTGTGGGAAATACTGAGCCTTTAGCAATGGCATCACTAACACTAACTCCTTTTCATTTTCGAGTATTTTCCCTGTATCTTTTAGAATTACTTTTTTAATGATGAATAAGTTCATGTTTATGTATATGTATTCCCACTTTCTGAAAAGTAAAGTGTATATATTAGGACACAAAAAAATGATCACTATGCTTTAGCCAATGCATGATGTATATAGATACAGTGATACAATTTCTTAGTATACTTTTTATTTTTTTGTCCTCCCAAAGAGGTAAATACAAATATTTTAAAGCCTTGGGATTCTGTAATATACATGTAATTATTTAAATATGGCAATGGCCAGCGATGTATGGATACAAAAAAAAGTCAGAAATATTGGCTATTTGAAAATTCCTTAGAAGTTGTACTTTTGTATTCAATACTATAATGCTGAGATGAGACTTTAAATACAGTCTGTAGGTAGCACATTCTCAGATTTTGATTGCTTGTTCATGTTGTGATGGAAAAATAAGTACTTAAGTTTTCGGATGGCCTTATTGACATTTATTCAGAACAGCTTGTTATTACCATCCCAGATAACAGATCAATGGCTTTCTTATCATATGAGAGAAATTAATTTTAAATCCCATTCATAGATTTGATAGTGGATATGTGATTACTGAATAAATTCTCAGAATAATGGCAAATATACACAATTACTGAAAAAGGATGGTGTTAACTGAAATTTAACATTGAGGAACATACTATAAACCAATCTTTGGTCTTAGAAAAGTGAAAGTGCTTTATTTGGTGGTAGGTGCTTTCAATTACTAATAACAAAAATTTCCCAGGATGTTGATCAAATAAGCCCAAAATCTTAAATGTCATGGCTAAATTCTCTAACTTTCTGTTGTTGGTGGTGGTATTTCTCTCTTTTTTGTCCCATTTAGTTTCTTCTTAGGAAATGATGATAAAATAGTTTCACATTCAGAGTTGGTTATTTTTTTTCTTTTCAACTTATTTAAATGCCAAAACCCCTGCATAATAAGTTATCTTATTGGTTGTCCAGATGAAAGGAATTTTTCAATCCACATATTAGCTAATTATTATACAGAGGGTAAATGACTGTTTTCCAGAACATTTTTTTTTCTAGTGATTCTTCAAACTTTAGTAGTATTTTTAACCCAACAAATTTTATTGGGAAATGTAGGTTTTTAACATTATTTAAATTTCTTATTATAGAAATCACATATTTTCAATTTAAACACTAAAATTTCACGGCACTATTTGCTAAGAAAAATACAGTGTAACAAGGAACTTGGACATAAAGATGTCTAAATATGTCTTCACTATGCATGTCCATTTATAACATGAAAAGTGTTCTTTTATACTTTAGCCAAAGATACAGGCATCTTTAACATACTGGTCAAGTGAATTTTATCTTAAGTGTCAGTAAGATTTGAAAAATCATCTCAAGTATTCCACTACATTTGAAAGTTTTTCCAGTCACATTTGAAGATCATTTAAAAGTTAGTTTAGAGATGATATCTTATCTATTACGATTATTTAAGCTATAATTGGTGAAAAATAGTTGGCAACTACACAATAGTAAATGTTAGCGTTTACAGAATTGGAAAATTGCTTTTCAGATGTGCTTAAGCAATGCTTCTGGTATGTGTACTTCTTACATCATATCATTTTGTACTGGAAACCGCACTGCAGGACATGGCTGGAAGTAAACAAGTGGTAGCCCAGACGCTACATAATAACTTGGGTACCCTCTCTCAAGAACTAGGTATGGAGCAGGTTGATAAAAGCAAGTTACGCTGTCTGTACTGGGTAATATATTCTGTTCTCCAAGTACTTTCAAAGCCAAAAGGGTGATCATGTTAAGAGTCTGCCTTCTTTCATAACCCATGAGGCAGACAGTACTTTGGTTCACAACTCCATGCAAGGTCATAAGATAGTCATACTTGCTTATTTCTTCACCTATGAAATGGTTGCGGAGGTATGATTCAATTTTCTTTTGCTGTTCTGCTACATCAGGAAAATCAATGAAAAATCTAGAACACATATAACGTTCCAGAGTCTTAATTTCTGTTTGACAAGCTGGTTTGAAATCACGAACCAACAGATTGCTATATTTCAAAAGGCCACCACCTCTGATCTCTTCAGGTTTTCTGGTATATATAAGCTTGTATTTCAAATGTATCATTGCTTCCTGGAAATCCCCATACATACTTTCAGCCACCACAACAGGACAGGATTCTTTGGTTAGCTTAGCATTTGGGACACTATAGAAATCTAACATGGAATCCAAAAGAATTTGAAAAGAATCTACACTAAATTCAAATTGTCGTCTGAGTGAATTCACAAATTTTAGTTCTACATTCTTTCCGGTGTTATTTGAAAGAGAGATGAGACTCCAACGATCATGGTTATTGCAAATTTTGACCATTTTCTGCACATATGCCTCTTTCATTGTCTTTAGGGTAATCTTTTCTTTTTTAACACCTTTTGGTAAAAAGTCAAGTAGACAACCTAAAACTGCATCCTTAACAACCTGAAATTCTTGGTCACTTGGTAGATCAACACCAAAAATAATGTCCAAATCTTTATAGCTGATTCCATTATGGCTTGCGAGTACGTAACTTGCTGTAGAGCCATTCAATCTGGTATCTTTAACAATAATGCCCTGCTTTATGAGTTGATCTTTCACAACATGAACAATATCTTTGGGTTTTACCTCCAGCGTGGGGAAATTGCCCCTTCCATGAATTGGGATTACTTCATCTAACACGCGATCCAGTGTGACAATGTGATCCCAAGTGAGATTGCTGAATCTGATCTCTGACATTGTGAAGTCAATCGATCAACTAGGAGGCAAGAAAAATATTAAGAGAAAATGTCAGCATCTTAAAACTAAGGTTACACCTAAAGCATATGAAAGAAGTTCAAAACAGGTTTATCCTCTATAAAAACAAAGTAAATACTAGGACGTTATTAATAGATATATAGATAATATTCTTAAACATGGAAAAATAAAGGTCACAAAGACTATATAAAATATTTGGTTTGTTAATAAGTTCAAACATTTTCTCAGGGATTAACTGTAAATATATAATTCATAAAATAAAAATGGTGTTCTTTTCTAATCATTCCTCATATAAACATGATAATTATGGTGTTTGATCATATAAATACCATTTATAGGTTAATCATAGTACAACACTGAGGCTGTCAGTAACTTAAATTGAGATGAGACAGCATGGGCAAAATGGAATTAATATATAATATAATAATTAATTCTATAATTATAAAATCATTCACAATACATTATTGAGTTTTGTATATTTCATTGCTCCCATTTTAAATACCACTATGGAAATCTTCTATCATATTATTAATTCTCTAGGTTCTTGAGAATAAGGATAGCATGTAATTCATGACTTGTTCTATATGCCCAGAGATGACTTAATGTCAGGTGAAAGAAATAATGACACTTACTTGGAAATGAAAAATGAAACTACCAAATTTGCATGCAAAATTAAGCAAGAATATAGAGAAGCATAAGATTGCTGAGTTTTACAAACATCTAGTGTAGGTGTCTGATAGCTAGTATCTGATATATTATGTTCAGAAAATTTTACAAATGGAAAGCATAAAGAATTTAATTTTTTATAAAAACATGATGAGTGCAACTATATATAATTTTGTATCTAGGTCATCTAAAGTGATTACATAGATCTTCCAATACACTATTAAGCTGTTCAAACAAATAAATCTAGGAAAGTAAATGAAGTCCATCATGGACATAGTCTTTGAACTAGGTATTGTTTCCTGAATTCCAGGAATGGAAAATAAACTCTATTATGCTTAAAGCAGATTTATATAGGTAGCATTCATATCTTGCATATTTATGGAGCTATCAGAATAATAAAAATATTTAGAATTCAATACTGCATGTATCTCAGGTATAAGTACAGCAAAAGAATTACCTAATCTGGCATCTGCAGAACAGTCTTGGCAGTTCAATGATTAAGTAACAGCAGATCTGTGTTAGTGAGAAAACTAAACTTATCGTGGTCCTCTATATATTATCCTCATAAATTAAATTAAAGAGTCAGTGTATATTTTTATTATGTAATGTTAGGGTTTATATAGTAGGTTGCTTGTTTTCTTTTAAACCAGTTTTATTGGGAATATCTGTATAGTTTGACCAACTATGTGAGTATACAAATCAAACCTTAAACATGGGTGGGATGAATTAAATTACTTCAGGTTTTTTGGATTTAAGTAATTGCTCTAGGAAGCAAAATTAACAATGTAAGGAGTAAGGATATACAGAATATACATTGATTGCTAGAACATTTAATAAGCAAATATAACACTACTTAAAATACATTCTCCTAGAATTATCACTGAATTAGTTTAAGCTAACAATTTGTTATGTTCTAGTTATCAGTCTGGAAAATAAAGTTCATCACAATATCTGGACTTGTGTAAATATTTTAGGAAGGTCTACAATTTATCTAATAAATATTTTAGAAGTGTAAACTAACTTAAATAGCTGTCATAAGCTTTAAAATTCTTCCTTAATATTAAAATTTCTTTTAAAAGTGGAAATTTCTGTTTCATTAGTGGAAAATTTCCTTTGATAATATTAGTAAAAATTAAAAATTCAATGGCTTAATACTAGTCTTATAACCTGTGAGAGGAGAATATTCATATTGCTATACATACTTTCTTAAATATTAAGAAATTATTTTCTATACAGAAGTCCATAGGAACTTTATATGGAAATAGTCAATCAAATCATGAGTAAATGAACTAACTGCCAGAATAAATGAGCAACTGATCAAAAAGGAGTCTTTCATATAAAACAAATTAGGAAGAGATACTTAAAATCCTAGATCTACACATAGATATTACAGGATAAAGGGAGGGAAAAGCATTTTCTTTCCAAGAAAAAAAGCATACTAAGATCTTGCAAAGAAAACAAAGAAGATTAACATTTCTTTTCAGTTTGTGGCAGAAATGTGGTATAGAGAAACTGCTCATCAGTGTACAGAATTCTGTTCTTCACTTGACACCTATGCTAATGATTCTAAGTCTTCTAGTATCAAGACTAGCCTGAAGGTTTAAGAATATATGTGTGTGTTTATATATATGTATATTTAATTATACATATGTGTGTACAATAATTTATCATTAGCCTTTGTTAAATATAAAGACATGAAGTCAATTTGCTAGGATATGAGGAAATGCTGTCATTGATTAGTACATGTTTCAACTATCTAAATGATGTTTTTAAATAACCAGTTCAGATTTTTATTTTAGAATTTTCTTGCTACAACTAAGTAAACTTCTATTTTACATAAACTTTAATTTTTACTAAGTAAGTATATTGTTACTAACTGAAGAATTTTAAATTACAAGTTTCTGGTCACCTGTAGTTAAGAAACATGAATCACAAAATTTTAAAACATCATAATTACCATACTATATCATATACATAAGTATATATATCATATATGTAATATGATATATATACAACATATACACACATATAGTCACACACCAAATTCAGTAAAGTATAACATGATGGAATATATACACGTGATTTTTTTATTAATATGGAATCTATAATTCTTATACAAATGCTCATCTCTATTAACATAGATAATTCAAGATTAGGCCATAATGTTATAGTTCTTTCACATAACCATTATCTATTTTCATTTTCTGATAATTACCTATAACACTAAATTAATGACTTATCATATGTAACTTAACAGTTGTATTTTCATATATCATAGTCAATTCATATATCAAATATAAAAAATTAAAACAATCTGCTAAAAACACAATTCAATGTAATCTTTGAGTGCCTATCATCATAAAGTTAGAAGTACAATAAAACTATACACATTGCTTATTGCATGATGTTGTTTTAAACAGAGCTGTCAGCTATACAATGTGTGGTTTTATAATATGAAGTACAAAAAATATATTTTCATGGGCTAAAAGTCCAAACTCAAGACAAATCTCCTTTAAAAATTTGCCTCCTAAGCCTGAACACAAGTACAAAAGCCGAAATTCCTAATCAGTCTTAAAATGTGATGTTCATATTGGTCCATTCCCAAAGATCTTCTGAGTCTCTGGCTTCTTCCAATTTATTTAACCTTTAAGCTAACACATTTCTTATCTATCATAATTAATATCAACGTCTATAATAAATATGATATAATATGTAAGACTTTAGTAGACATTGAAATAAAAACTCAGTTGTTTCTGTTATTTAATTGGTTAAATTCATCTGGAATGCAAATAAGGCAAGTGAATTGTCAAGATCTTACAAAGGGTCAGAAATGGTCATTTATATAATAAATAAATCATAATGTTTTCCTTATCACACACTTATTATCCTTCTGACCACAGAAATAAAAGTGAAACTAATAATTTTCCAACTCTACTAATATTAGAAGTTTATCTTCAAATAGACAGATGAATGACTTACAACTTACTTTGTAAAGATAACTTTCAAGAACTCTATACAGTCAATATGATTCAGTGGATATTTCAGACAAGATATGAATTTTCATCTTATGGAGTAGAGTCATGAGTCAACCAGTCTGAAGAAGAAAAACACCAAAAGAGCATTTTGATACATGTCATACATGAATAATCTGATGTTCCTCATCATATTCTTACAAGCTGTATGTATACACATATATAGACATACACACTAAAGAAATGATGGTAAATAATTGCTCTGAGATAGAAGTTCTTAATTTTCAGGATGCATTGTTACATAGAGGGTTTGTAAAATATTTCTAGGTCCCATTTTCAGGGTTTTTGAATAAGCAGGTCAAAGGGGAACCTGAATATAGGCATTTAAACAACTTCCCAGATGGTGTTGATGCAACAATACTTTAAGAATCATATCACTAAAGAAAACATAAGAAATGACCAAGGACCATTATTATCAACAGCCATACTTCATGTAATGACTTGGATACTTCCATTACATTAAAAAAAACTACTCTGAAGTCTGGGCTATGGCTCAGTGAGTAAAGTACTGTGTAAACTTGAGGATCTGAATTTGGGTCCCCAGCACCCAAATAAAAACCAAGCATGGCAGTGCATGTCTATAATCACAGAGGTGGGGAAATGGAGACACATGGACTTTCAAAGGCTCACTAGCCAGCCAGTATAGATGAAGTGGCAAGCTCTAGATTCGGTGAGAAGACGCTATCTCAAAATGATAAACGGAGAAAGTGGGAAAGACACTTCATATTGACCTCGTGTCACCACAAAATAAATTAAAAATAAAAACTGCAATGAATCAAACAGAAAATTCCAATCCAAGAAAATGTTCTTTTAAATTAGGCTTTTATCAGCATTCTAATAGTACAATATTATTTTTTTCAACTAGATGTTAAATCTAACAAAGTCTAAAACTTGTGTAGTGATTCTAAGACAGAAATGTTGCTAGTTACCTTCCTTATAGTAAATGCTTATATTCAGAAGATGTCTCTTACTTTGGAAAACTTCAAGACTGGTATCCACCTATAGTTAAATAAGGAAATGGACATTGGTTATACTATGTACCATATTTCATAGGTTCAAAGAAGTATGAAGTATTATTTAATTACTAGAAGGAGGTATTGCACATTTTATTTGATATACTACATCTGTTTCTAGAGAGAAGATTAAGGCATGTGAGAAATGAAACTGCTGTATTTAATTAAAATATAAATTACCGACAACTGAATATTATCTCTTTCAAAATGAAAGTGTTCATTTCAAGAAGAAAATTCTATTTATATCATGATGAAAACACTGATTGATTTGGTATTTTTATGGTGTACTGAGTAAAGCAGTAAATAGAATACTGGCTAACATTAATAATAAAGACCATCAAAAACATCATGAAAAGTGATAATCATCTCAAGGAAATCCCTTTCAATGCTTTTGATCTGCTGAAAGTAAAGGCTGACATATAACTTCAATACAGAGAAAACTCTAAGAGGCTAGGTGTGTACCTCAATGATAGAATGCTGGCTTGACATAGGCAAGGTGCTAGGTTCAACCACCAGCACCGCAAAAATAAAATAAAGACAACTCCTACTCACATTTGACTACAAATTTAAACAAATACTTAATATAATATTAAGTGTGTGATACCTGAAATTACTAAGCTAGACGAAAGTCAGAAAGATGTGCTATCTGGTTTCGGTCCTACATTGCATCTGAATCAATGATGAAAATGTAAGATGTGTACTGTTTTGCCATCTTTCCCTCCAAATCTATTTGTAATGTCAAACAGACAATTTCTCAAAACATATTATCTTGCTGTAATAATTGTCAAGGATATCAAGAACTCTGAGAATAAAATAGTATAACAGCTATATAAGAATAAGAGGAACTCAATCAAATTATTGTAACCATCAGACTTAACTTCCTTTTCATTTTTAACACTACAAACAAGGATACTGAAATTAGTATAAGTAGTACATATCAAAGCAAGTGCATTATTTTGAAATATGGTAAACGTGGTCCCTGTTCTAGCAGAGAACTATGGTACTTTAGTTGCTTGATTATAGAGGCAAATAAATTAAACAAAAAATAAACAAACCTAATTTGCCTTTTAAATGTATTTTCTATTTGCAGTGACTTTCTACATACCAAAGGTTTCTCTAGTAGCCCAGTTAAGCTAAATCCAAAGTAATTATGCATATTTTCTTTTCTGGATACTCACTATATATACCCACATAACAGCATGTAATGCTTATAATGTCCAACAAATCATAATGTATGTCTTTTCAAAGAGACGCATATTATTCCATAGACTAGTTCAGATTACACTTAGATTCCCCCTTAAATGAAGAATCGGGCTTGGAGTATTGTTTCATCAGTTAAGAACAGTGATTGTTCTTCCAGAGGACCTGTGTTCCATTCCCAGCCTCCACATAATGGCTCACAACCATCTGTAACTCCAGTCCCAGGGGATCTAACACACTTCTGGATTCTGTGGGCAACAGGCATGCATGTGGTGCATAGAAATACAAACAAGCAGAACACTTATTGACATAAAAATAAATAAAATTTAAATGAAGATTCTTAGTTGGGACAGCATGAAAAAGACCAATTTTCTGTGGCTACTATGACTGTCTGTTATAAGTTATGCTAGAGTCTAAAACACATACACACAATAGGAATTAAGATAGCTAAAGAACTAATTTTTACTTTAAATTAAATTCATTATCCCTTTGCTCTATAAATTTCAAAGTAGGTTTTGCCTACAAATGAAACAGAAATGTTTGTCTGTATTTCAACTATAAATGTATTATATTAAAGGAGCTATGTTATCTAAAAGATGTAATTTAACATAATGCTCTGTTGACAATCTATACAGATGTTCATAAAAGTCATAATCACAAAGTGTTTACCAGTTTTTTTTACACAGATAGATATTTTATAATCTGTTCAAATGATAAAAACAAATTAGTTTTTTCATTTTTGGAATTTTTTCTGTTAGCTTATTGAATTAAAAACTAATAAAATGTAACTCTAAAACCTTTTTCTGGTTAAATATAGCAAATGATAAAGATTTTTAATTAAAAACTATAAACATTTATAAAGGCCACTAACTAACATGTTCAAATATTTTCTATGCATTGCTGAATTCGAAAGTGTAATACAGATATGTAATTCTGAGCCAAATTCAAGAGCCAAATGTATTTAAGTAAGCATGAGGAACTCACAGTAAGGTCAAGCTATTCGAAGGCTTATACTAAGCTTTTAATATTGTGTATATGAAAACTTTATATAATCAAGATTTAGAAGAATAGCTACATCAAAAATACTGTGCCACTTATTCCATAATGCCCTGTTGATTTTACAAGTCTTGTTTAAAGGTTCACATGGATATTCTCAATAGTGTTCACTTTTGGCATTAGTCATTTCCAAATTTGGTTCTGAAAAATGAAACACATCACTACTGATATTAAAATAGTTTCAATTTAGGCCAATCCACAAACTCATTTTAGTTTCAATATAGTCCATATCCTAAAAACAGTTGCAAATATCCATTTGTCCTGGATTCTCTTAATGAAATATATAGTCATTTTCAAAACTTTTAGCTACTAACAAATGTATACTAGGATAACTGTGAAGCTTGTATGAAGGGTGTTAACTCTAAATTGCTTAGTTTTTAAAAATAAAGATCTTTAATTATATTGTGAATGAAGTTATTTATGCATACTTTAAACTACTAGAAATGACATAGTTCTCAAAGAGGAAAAATGCTTTTAATCAGAGTTAGGGTCATGCTGGGCAAGGGATAACGTCGGTTTCTCTTGTGCTAAAAGATGATGGGATTGTTAAAGGTTTTAATTCTATTTAGGCATATAATAATACCGTAATGTATTTTCCATTCTGATAGTATTTATATGTTTGTCTGTATTTTATGATCATGTCTTTTCAAATATCATGCTTAAGTCCACTTCTTGCTCAAAGAAACAAAGTATTATCACTGCATATATTTACACAAATAACCAATATCCTGTCACTAATGTACAGAGAAGAAACTTCTCAACATTTCTTTATGTAGGTAGAATCATGCTGCAAAAGGCCTTTGAGTGTAAAGGCTTAGGTGAAATGTGTATTAGAAGAATTAAGAAACATGCCAGGCACCTATTCACCTAAGAAAGGAACACTAGGGCTGAAAAAAATACCTTTGGATTTAAAGGCATGGCGTTCATAAAGGAATGCCTTCACATCAGGTTAAACCTGTTGCCATTCCAGAAAACAAACAAAACCCTTATCACTTCCCTTTCTTGCCTAACACACATGCATGCATTTCTTCTGCTCATTTTTCTTTATTGTGCTTTAGTTGTTATCTGTTGCTTTCAAATGTTAAAAGTGTGCACTCTTCTAAGTAAATCATTTCTTGCTTCCTTTTAGGGTTATCACAAATCCTTTACAGTAAAAAGTAGAAAGAGGTGACATTATAGCATCTTTCTTCCTCTTCCTATATTTTTATTACCTGGAAGAGGGTGATCACTATGAAAATTCTATAGTTACTTTGGGGATACTTTTGCTTCTGATATTACCCAATAGAGTTGTCGCCTCTGGAAACTGCTGCAAAATTTAGAGAGATGAATTGGTCAGATAAAACTCCAGTTTGCTTTCAATGGAATTCGTGGCTATGGCACTAGTGAGAAGTCTCTAAAGTGCAAAGAGCTTCCTGGACGGAAGCCAAAGCTACCTAATGAGACAAAATATCATGCTCTCTGTACTGAATGCTGTTTAACTAACGCGACACTCATAATAAATCCATAAGCCCAATAAACATTTACCAAATCATTTAAGATCTCTAATTCTTCTTAAGTATATGCCTGTCAGGAATCAGGGATTAAGGACTGTATAGAGACTGAAGAGGACTCCAGAATTATAGTCAACCCCACATACATGCTCCACATGACTCACAAATACTATCCAAAGAAGCAGGAAAGTAGGAACTCACCAGAATAGTCCAAGAAAACAAAACAAAACAAAATCTCTCCTAAACACATAACAAAAACCTCTGTTCATGACTCTTCCCAGCCCCTCTCCATACCCTCTCCGCCCTTAGAACTCACTTTACCAACTGCTGATCTCTTCAAATCCGACCAGTCAAGGAGCAACTGGAAGGGGAAGGATACAAGAATAAGGCTTCGGAAGAAGACTGCTGGTAAGCACGCAGGAGAAAACGGGGTTGGGGGTGTTAAAGAGAGAAACTGAAAGAAATAAAAAAATGTTGCAAATACAGGGAGGAATAAGGGAAGAAGGTAAGAAAGAATGAGCTTCAGGAAAAGAGCACAGAAAGCAAGCTCCTGCAAACAGCTGAAAGGCTGTTACACTGCTGCTGTCCAAGGGCTACTAGGTGCTGAAATGACTTCCCCAACACACCCCTCCAGTCCCACTCACCCACTCCACAGACTTCCCTTTCTCCCAGGCTCATCCCCCTCTTGTAGCGTAAAACCATTTCCATGGCAACGTGTCGTCATACAATTTAGGGGGGTTCGTACTTCCGAGTTATGTGAGTTTTTCATAGCTTAGGCAGACCATCCATTACTTCCATTCTCCTTTAGCACTGAACTTTCTCTGATATGATAATACTATCTTTTCTCCCTCCCCAACCTGAAAATTATTTTCCCCTTTTCCCTTGCAAATGCTGCCCGGCTTCACAGCTTTTCTATCCCCCACCCTACCTACATAACCTTCAGAGAGAGAGAGAGAGAGAGAGAGAGAGAGAGAGAGAGAGAGAGAGAGAGGGAGAGAGAGGGAGAGAGAGGGAGAGAGAGGGAGAGAGAGAGGGAGAGAGAGAGAGACTGATTTTAGCTTCCCAGCTTTTTTTTCAGTCCTTACTAACAGAAAGCAAACTAAAGTTTATGCCCACAAGCAGTTTTGTGCCTTGTTTTGTTTACAGCAGATTTCTGCATAACTTGCATTATCATGGGAAATCTCCTCCCTCACTTTAACACATTTTACTCTCAGTTTGGCTAAAAGCATTCAGGGCTTCC